AAATTGATGAATGCATAAGCGTATTTGTTCTGGAAACAAATGGTTACAGGTTTTATTTAGTTCTTTTACTAAAATGTTTGTAATTTTTGTTATGTTGACTTTTAGGATATTCTTACTTGGTTTTTAATTATCATGATCATTAATATCATTGGTTTCCCCAAATTAAAACATTCCACTTTAACAAAAAAGGTAGAATGTATAAATAAACTTCATAAGCCAATAATTTTGCCATAATGTCAATATTGTTAATAAAATCTTAAAAGATGGCTGAATAAAAATATGTAAATATTTTCATAAATCAGATGACCCATATGGATGGATGGATGGATGGACAGGTGACAGGTGGTGGACAGACGGAAGGGCAGATGAATGACACAGAGTATCTGCTCTCCATATGATAGCCCAGGTGGTCTTTTAACCATGAAAACTGGATTATGTCATTCTCTCCCATAAAAACTTCATGCAAGGCAATAAAACCCAAAAACATAACAAAGAAAATAGAAAGCAAAGGGCAGAATAGTGAATAGAGTGTGTTATCATTTGTGGGCTTGAGAAAGAGCAAGCATGGCAATGGGTGGGAGCTTCATCACTTATTAACTTTTTGAATTCTGAAATACATGCACATAAGTACAAAATTAAAATATTTTGTTCTTTTTCGTAGTTCCAAAATATTCTAAAATAAACAGTGTTTCCTTCTTGTAATAATTGTATTTAAAGAAAATTCCAGAAATAAAGCACCTTTAATTGCCATACAGCCTTTGGAGTGAGTTCCTCATCATTTTAAAGCCATTTATGTAGCGATGATATCCTGAATAAACAGTTTGAAAATAGAAAACTTTGTTACCCCCATTTAAAATACACATCCAGCCTGGCTGGTGTAGCTCAGTAGTCGAGCGTTGACCCATGAATTAGGAGGTCATGGTTCGATTCCCAGTCAAGTCAGGGCACATGCCCGGATTGTGGGCTCGATCTCCAGTAGGGGGCATGCAGGAGGCAGCCCATCGATGATTCTCATCATTGATATTTCTAGCTCTCTATCCCTTTCCCTTCCCTTCTGAAATCAATGGAAACGTATTTATAAAAAGATAATAAAATACGCAGCCATCTTTCTAGGCTTGGGTCTAATATATACTGTTTTCCTCCTACTTAACATTTATGGTTTATGTCAGGGGCTCTAAACCTTTAGTAAGCTAAAGATTAGCCCAGGGAGGTTGCTAAAATGCAGATTCTCAGGGCCCTCTCCCTAGACATTCGGGGTCAGTGGGTCTGGGTGGGGCCCTGGAATCTGCATGTTAACATTACCACAGGAGATTCCCATGTAAGTGCCCACAGATCACACTTTGCAAAACATTCATCCATCACTCAAGGGAACCCAGCTTTTTTTATATATAAAAGTGATAATCCTAGGTAGTACGTACAGACTTGAGATCTGATGACTCCCCCCCACACCCTACCTTTATAAACACCTATACTATGTTACATGCCTTACAGTGTGGTCCTCTGTGTACTCACCTTGCCTTCTCTCTCAGCCTTTGAAGAGTGAGATTCAAGTCTTCATCTAACCCAGTGCTCCACTGTTGTGAAACAAAAGTATGTGACAGAAACCAAAGCATACAGTTCAAATGTTACTCTCTTGGCTTAGGGATCAAGTTTCTCGGCCAGCTGTGTAAGTTCCTAGCCTCTTCCCCGCACAGAGCTCAGCTATGGATAAGCACAGGGCTAACCCCCTCGACTGCTAAATCTACAGGGGCTGCTGTTTAACTTAAAGATGTGTGTATAAGTCGCTCTGGCAGCTTTCTGTGCCTTTCCAGGACCTCTGACGAGCCCTTTCCTCTGTGAATATTAAAGTGAAAAGACCATCTGAAAAAGCGGCAGAGTGGGTTTTCCATATTACAAGAATTTTTAAGTGTGATGGGAAGAGACCTACGACGCACAGCGGCAGCTCTCTGCAACCCCCTGGTGGCAGGATGCTCCATGCATCCCAGCCCCACCCGCATCCCGGCTCTCACAGTGGACTCAACAGCAGAAGCTCATGAAGTGTCCCCAGCAGCAAGCCCAGGGAGCCCACAGATATTAGCTGGTAAATAGGTTAATAGTGTGAGTGGCAGGGAACAAAAACACACAGTTAGAATTTTACTTTCTTCTGCCCAACCGAGGATTACTGGCTCTACCAACTGTGTAACTTCCTAATTTTTTTTTTTGTACAGCTTGTGAGCTTACTCTTAATGTACAGATCGCCTAGACTCAAAGCACAATCCTCATAGCACAAAATATAAATGCCTCAGTCATCACTGGTAAGACTCCAGAGCTTTTTCAGAATTGTCATTCATCCCACTCAGACCTGGAGCCCTCAGTTCAAAGTGCTTGTCCCAGAGGCACGACCGAGACGGCTTAGCCTGAAGAACGGAGGGGACTGAGAGAGATGGCTCACAGCTGGAGGACCCTCAGCGTCCACCGAGGTTAGAATAAGCACATCCTGGGGTGGCGATTAGGGGGGCAGCTCAAGTTCTTTGGGTAAAGAACTGCCTGGAAGAGACTGACTCTTATGTCTGGATTCTTCTTCTTCAGGAATCACTAGGCAGGGCAAATTTAGTCAAGGAATAAATGCAGCCCTGCCCAAGGCCGGGGGGGCATTTGATGGCATTCTGGGGTCTCTTCCAGCCCTCCAAGTAGAAGCTCACTTAATAGCTCCTGTGAATAGATGGGACAATGTGAAGATGAGCAAAAGCCAACATATTTGTAAGATTCAGATAGAAACGACTTCACCCCTGCACACAGCTCTTGTGGGGACTACACGCAGCTCTGAGGTTCAAGTTTTTTGATGACAGAGAAGCCTTTTAAGGAGGCTGCTTGCTGGGCTAATGGTCAGGCCCTGCGTGAAAATTCTCAGAGCAAAAGGCCTTTCTAAATTCTGGAAATCAAGATCGCACCTAAAGCTTAATGGTCTGATCAGAATGGCAAATACATATAGTCCCTTTCTCTCTTCCCCGCCAAGCATTTAATTGGTTCACACCCCACTTTTTCTAGAAGTTAATCCTGGCATTATGCAACCTTTGAGAAGAAATGAGCAAGGAGAGATGACAAACAGTTCCCAGAAAATCCCAAGAAAGAGGGGCTTCGGGCAACCTAGGTGACATTTCCAAAGAGCACTAGTGGTCCACTCATAAGTTGTTCTCTTCTACACTTATGAGAAGTCTCTACCTTGCTGGGATTAGTCATTGAATCCGATGTTCCTAATTGAGAGTTACCGGCACCTTGTTTTAGGGGAAAGTCTAAATTATAGTCTTAAAATGCAAATTAATTCTTTCCTAGAACAATGCTCATTGATCAAAGATATTTCTTCTACCCTGGGCCCGTGTGGCTCAGTTGGTTGAGCGTCAATCAATGTTTCTCTCTCTCCCTCTCCCCTCCTCTCTCTCTCTCTCTAAAAATAAAAACATATTTTTAAAAAATATTTCTTCCTTGAATTTAGCTTTTATAAAATGAAAAATCCCAAGTAAAATATCAGGAAAATGCCTGGCTGGCATGGCTCAGTGGTTGAGCATCAACCTATGAACCAGGAGGTTGTGGCTGGATTCCTGTTCAGGGCACCTGCTCGGGTTGTGGGCTCAATCCCCAGTCGGGGGTGTGCAGGAGGCAGCCAATCAATGATTCTCTCTCATCACTGATGTTTCTATTCCTCTCTCCCTCTCCCTTCCTCTCTGAAATCAATAAAAATATATTTTAAAAATATCAGGGAAATGAAGAAAGCCTTAATAAAATCAATCAGAAGACCAAATCATGTGTCTTCAATATAATGAAAACTTGCATGTTTGGTAGGGATTCTGTTTCCCATACTCTCTACAGATCCACTTCAGACAGAAGTCATGAAAGAAAAGACTTCCTTATGAGCTAAAGGGACTTTCTGCTCAATTGGCTGACTCTGAGGGACAGTCAAACTCCCAGTCAGCAAAGGGCTGGCGAGAGGAGCAATGCATAGCAGAGTTTTCAGCAATGGCTGAAACCCGTGGGGTTAGTTGGCCACAAAATGTGACAACTGAGAACATCTCCTCTGTACTCCTTCTATAACTAAACTTCTCTCTCTCTATTACTGGACACGCTTATTTTATTTTGTCTACCACCCCACTCCTGGCCAGACTGTATGCTCGGAGAACTTGGGGTATGTCTGCTTATCTCAAGGACCTATCAGAGTGCTGGCATTCAATGAACAAAAGCTAACTTTGAATTGAGCTGAGATTTTGCTGTAATAAATAAATCAGGCAAAAAATGGAAAAAAATTAATAGTAAGGCCTCCATTACTTAATAATATCTCATAGATATTAAAGTTACTTTCATAGTATCAGAATTAATAACTGAATTCTGAAGTGGGAAATCTGCTGAGGAATCATTAATTGCTTAAAATCTTAAGTTTGGTAAACACTATTGCTTTAAAACTAGAGTCCTCTTACTCCTCAGTATGATCCATTTAAAAGTTTTCAATGGTTTCCTTTGCTCAATTTAAATGAACCCAAACTCTAACTCTGTACCGGAAGGAGAAGGAACACTGAAAGCAAACCTATTACCACTATTTACAGTTTCTCACCAGAGGCCCACGGGCAGAGGCACTGCTTTCTCTAAACAGGAAGCCACCACGCAGCCAGCGAGTCTGGATTCCGCTTCCAGGGCTCCCCTCTGTACACACTCGAGAATTTTTTCCGGCTGACTTCATCATTAATAACTATTTATCAAATCTGCCCATATTGACTAGGTGAAATACCTCCCCACCCGTCACCAGGACTTTGTCTTCTCTCGTCTTCCTTCACTGAGTCGGGGCAGGATCAATGAGGAGAGTGGAGGATGGAGATGGGCAATGGGCTCTATCTCTGAAGAGTAGCTGTTGTAAAGATTTTTTTTTTTTTTTGCAATACTATGAATGACCAAAAAAGCAAAACAAAACAGAAAGAAAAAACCAAAACTTTCAACTTAAACTTCCCAGGGGAAAAAAATGCCAGAACTATGAAAAGACTTACAGAGAACATTTACTTTTAGTGTACAGTCCCATGGACCTGACCATCACAGTCAGCTCCCCAGTGCCTCTATAGTGCTCTTAAACCATCTCTCAAAATCAGGACACAAACAGGTCTCCTCTCCAGTATGTAATTTTTATAATTGCATCAGATACACAGTGAGTATCTTTCAGGGAATTTCACCAAAACCAAATAGAAGTTCAAAGATAAAACTGCAGCAGATCAGGGAAAACAGGTAGAACTGCGCTGTCACAGGACTAGCCTGCAAGCCGTCCTTAGTCTGGGGCACCTGAACAATCCCACGGGTCCACGGCCAAGGGCTAGGCGGGCCAAGGCGTGCAGCAGAGCTGCTCCTATCTCCCTTCCAGGGGTCTAAGCTGTAACTCGCGCTCTAACTGCTCTGCAGTCAGGGTGCCCTGGATGGCTTCGCAGCCCGGGTTGAACACAGAGTAGGCGCTTTTCTCTCCCTCCTTCTTCTCCCCGGGACCTCGTGTCCCGACATACATCCAGTAGAACAAGGACAGGACAAAATAAGCCAGGCCAAATTCCAGTTCCACAAAAAGTCCCAGCAGGATCAACCAGAGAAGAACCTTCAAGAAGGTGATGCTGGTCAGGAAGGACTGGTCCCGCGGCAACGGTGGGGGAACGGCTGTCCTCCGTGGGGGCTGTGACGTGCTGCTCCCAGGCTGAGCGGCTTCCTAGGACACAAACAAGCAAAGGTAAACATAAAGGGTAATGAGGCTGAGAGGATGAAAACCAATCTGGAGAGGCAGCTCTCATTGTCCCCGGAAGGCTTCTGGCTCATTGATTTCTATTTCCTTGCCCTGCTCTCTGAAACAATCATCTCCCAAAGAGCTCTTGTGCCCTGCTCCGACCGGCCCCAAACCGGTCAGCACTTAGTGAGATGACCCGATGAAAACCCTACAGCACGCAGATGGGTTCCCCTTGTGGGAGGCACTTCCTCAGAGGAGTCTGCTGCTAACAAGAGCTAATGTGCGCCCCACACAGAAGCTCCCCAGTCATTGGTAATGCAATAGCCATGCGTATGCTTCACACAGAATCGATATGGTTGTTGATTTGATTAGATGAGCTAAAATTTTGAGTGACATGATTCTAAAATGAGCACTATACCAGAAACAGGAAAGAAAACCCCCTCTACATATTAAAAAATAAAAATTGCTGTTACAGCTACAACCTTTCCATCCTATACATCCCCAGGCCAAGGCAGTGCCTCCTAAGTGGACTCTCGCCTCCTATCTCTTCCCTCCCCACGCCATCCTGTGTACATACAGTTGCTAAATGAATCTCCTAAAACACCCATCAACCTCCTGTTCACAAGCCTTCAACAAATTTTTATTGCCTAGAGGTTAAAATTTAAACTCTTTGGGCTGCAATCCAAGGCCTTCCATTTATTCAACAGATAGAAATGCCAATACACAGGCTGCTGTGCTGGTGCTAACGGGAGACACGGGGATTTAGGCCATTTTAGGGAGCTGGTCTCTACTCCAGTATTTTTTCCAAACCTCTTTGGGTTTGACCTAGAATAAAAGATACATGACCCAGCATGCATGTATATGTATATGTATATGCATGTGTGTATGTGTATGTATATGTAATAGAAAAAAAGTTTCACAAATCAACAAATATCTTCACATCATATGAAGCTGTTATTTTCTATTCTATTTTTTTATTTTAACAGAGGACTAGATTTCTCTAAATTGATGTCACCACTCACTAAAGGGTCATGACTTACCATTTGAAAAATAGTCTAAAAAATTTCCTGCACAGCACAATCTGCAACTGTATAAATGAACCCTCTACTCCACTTCCACTGGTCTCACTGCCAAGACCATTGCCCGTCTGGCCTGGAATCGCCTCTGGTCCTCTCCACGCCTCGGCTCCTTGCCTTCCTTCCAGGCAGGCATGACTGGTGCGCTGTGCATGCCTCGACCTTCTCCACCACCGAGAAGGTGCCCGCAGCCTTCCGAGCACCGGCTGGCTCTTTCTCACTGAGCACCAAACTGTTCATCTAGTGTCTCTTTTATTTATTTATTTTAGTAAGTTAAACTCACAAACAAAACAGAAACAGACACAGATACAGAGAACAGACTGACAGCTGTCAGGGGCTGGGTGGAAAAGGTGAGGGAATAAGCAAAGAAAAAAAAACCTCATGGACACAGGCAGCAGTGTGGTGATTTCCCTGAGGGAAAGGGCGGTGGGGGAGGGAGGAGAGGGTGAAGGGGGGTAACTGGTGATAGGAGGAGACTGGACTTGGGGTGGTGGACACACAATACAATAATACACAGATGACTATTAAAAAGAAATTGTTTCAAAAAATAATAAACCCGAGGTAAAATAATACTGAAGTATCTTTTTTTATCCTTACCTGAGGATATGATTATTGATTTTAGAGAGAGGGGAAAAGAGAGAAAGAGATAGAGATACAGAGAGAGAAACATCGATGTGGGAGAGAAACATCAATTGGTTGCTTCCCATACTCGCCCTGACTGGGGATCAAACCCGTAACCTTTTGGGTGTAGGGGACGACGCTCCAACTAACTGAGCCACCTGGCCAGGGCTGAAGTGTCTCTTTTAATATAGGTCACCTGTATCCCTAGATTGTCACCATGAAGACACAGACTGCCATATATTATCCTTGGTTGTCTCCAGAGCCAAACAGCACCCACACATAGGTTCTCAATCCACAGAAGAACTTTTAGTTCATTTCTTCAGTCATATCTCCTCTTCTTCACTTCACTTCATTTTATTTTTTTAGGGTGTTCTTTTTTTTTTCTTCACTTCATTTTAAAAGGGATCACAACTATATTTGGTCTCAATAAAATATACAGATCACCCTGGCCAGGTGGCTCAGTTGGTTGGGGCATCATCCTGTACACTGAAAGGTCACTGGTTCAATTCCCAGTTAGGGAACATACCGGAGTTGTGGGTTCGGTCCTGGTTGGGGCACGTGCAAGAGGCAGCCAAAAGAAGCTTCTCTCTCACATTTCTCTCTCTCTCTCTCTCTCTCTCTCCTCCTTCCTTTCTCTCTAAAAATCAATAAAAACATGTCCTCGGGTGAGGATTGAAAAAAAATACAGATAATCTGATTTATATTGCTTCAGAAATTCTATTTTGTTAGAACCTTCTTTTTTTAGCATCAATACTGTAATTACCTTTTCAGTAAAGGCCCTTAACATATCATCAGCAAACACCCCACCCCAACAGACATTTATTAAATAGAAAAAGGTCCCTTTCTGATTTGACAGTGTACACAATAGGGAAATCCCTCAGGTCTTAGTGGGAACTAATATAATCAATTTATATTTACGACTACTCTGGCTGCCAGGTAGAGAATGGGCTGCGAGGGTAGACGTAGGGAAATTGTTAGTAGCAGCAGGCCCAGTAAGAGAGGACCAGGCAGGGATTAAGGTGGTGACTCAGATGTCAGAGAGAAATGATGGACTGATGGATACAGAATACATTTTGAATGTGTATGACTTGAAATTCATAGCAAAGTGAATTTATTTTACTATTGAGGGAGTATAAAAATAATGCTTGCACCATCATTTATTTATTGAGTGCCTTCAAAACGCCTGATCTCCTGTAATCCAGGCAGGCACTGGTATTCCCAATTTACTGGTAAGGGATCACTGAGACCGTAAGTAGCTCCCCTCAAGTCACACACCAGGTGATAGGCAGAGATGAGGCTGGTCTAGGATCTGAGAATGGTCTCCCTCCAAAGCCTTGTTACTTCCTTAGGAGCCTTTGTGGGGGATGGTAAAGGGGAGGGTAAAGAGCTAGAAGAAGTGGGGAAGATTAAACGAACTGGCAAAGAGACAAAGAAAGGAGAGGAGGGATATGGGACGTCCTCAGCCTCGCTTGGCCTTTGTTCCAGTTCCAGGACACCTTCTGTTGTGTGGCAGTGGGAGGGTTTGTGGTCTCACAGCACATGTAGGCACAGTTTAGGGAAGATACTTCCATTCCCCAATACCAAGCTGCTTCCCACCTCCGGGCCTCTGCACTTGTACTAGTATTTCCCTCTGAGACGAATGCCCCTGTCCCCTCCCGTCACCTGGCTGGCTCCCTCTGCTCCTATAAACCTCAGCAAAAACGTCACATGTGGCCTGGCCTTGTCCCTAGGTTTCTGCAAGAGTGGCTCCTTCTTATGAAATGCCACCTCCTGGTGAGGTCCTGCCTGCCTACCCAATCTAAAGTAGCACTCTGAACCCCTCACCCAGTTCACTACCACAGTGTCTGCTCCTCATTCCCCTTTCATAGCATTCACCATTCTCTTCTTTCATTGTCTCCTCTCCAAAAGCTGGTTCTGTGAGAGCAGCATTTTGTGTGTCGCTTTCAGTGTCCCCCCAGATTGAGGGCAGTAGCTGGATCACAGTGGGCACATGACAGGGTTTTGCTGAGTGGTGGTGAGGGAAAGGAAGACACAAAAAGGTGACTCCTGGATTTGAGGGGCTGATGCAAAGATTGTGCTTAGCCAGGTGACTCCAAAGGAAAAGCACATTTGAGCAGCGGGCCAACCTGAGCCAAGGGTTGGAGGTGAGGAGTTGCAAGCCAGGAGTGGGCAGTAGGCCCTGGACTAGATAGTGCCCCGCGGCTGGTGGGGGATATGCCTGGGAGAGAGGCAGGGGGTTTCTACAGGATTAAAAAAAGTTACAAGCATTTTTGTCCTATTGTGGCAGAAGCTTGTCACAGAAAGGAAGAAATTTGAGAGTGGGGGAAGGAAGATGTGTTCGCTTCCTTATCAATGACTACTGAAAATTACAAATAGAAGGCTTAAGATATATGACATGCCACTGTGTGCCACCAAAATTATTAGACAGAGATGGATTATAAATTAGAAAAAAAATGTAATGAGAATTGTCACACCAGAGCAACCCCAGGAATGATAAGTGAGTGCATGAAAATGAGCTTAGGACAGAAACAGCTTGATTAATAAGAACCAACTGCAGGTCCAGCACTTCCTCTCATCCTGCGGTCAGGCCACCAGCTTTTGGGTTTTTAACAGCAGAAGCTTTCTCCAAGTTCAGATTCTCTGGGTCCAACTCAATGACCTCATATTCCTCTGATAATGAGACATACAGTCAGAAACTCAATGTGTGGATTAGACATCGTTTTTTAACTGCAGGGAGAAAAAAAGGGTAGAGGAAGTAGATTCTAAAATCTTAAGTAATTGTGCTCAGGGGGCTCTAATTGACAATAAAGTTACCCTGAGACAAACTGCATGCAAGAAAATGGATTGTTTGAACCCTACAGCACCTTTTCTGGGAGTCAGTTAGAACCCTGACTGTCATGGAGAACATATCAAACTTAAGTAACAATTCATGATTTTTTTAAAAAAATTCCCTAAAACCAGATGTTGTGGCCCTAGCTGGTTTGGCTCAGTGGATAGAGCATCAGACTGCAGACTGAAGGGTCCCCGGTTCAATTCCAGTGAGGGGCACGTACCTCGGTTGCAGGTTCCTCCCCGGCTCAGGCCTTGGTTGAGGCTCAAGCAGGAGGCAACCAATCAATGTGTTTCTCTCACATCGATATTTCTCTGTCTTTCCCTCTCTCTAAAAATCAATGGAAAAATATCCTCGGGTGAGGATTGAAAGAAAACCCAACCAGATGTTGTGCAATAATAAATGAACTTGCTCGCCTCCCCGGGACACCAGGACTTCTTGTCCCTCAGTGCCGGCGAGCAGCCGCGTGTCAGAGCTTCCCTCGCTCTCCGACCACTGCAAGGCCGTGGCCGCCTCTCCCTGTGGGATCTGGGGCCTCAGAGACCCGCCCCGAGCAAGCCCAGAGGATTCGAGGGTTCGTAAAAAACCGAGAATCCATTTGCAGCCCGCGTGGCGTGTGACTGCGTACCTCTGGTTTTGGTGCCTCCGTAGCTCCCACTCAGTCTCACTGCGCTTCTTTCTTTTCCTCCAGTTGTAGATCTCCCACTGGGCCAACTTCCCCATGGTTCTGAGTGGCGGTTGTTTACTTCATAGTTGATAGTTTCAGTGATGCTGTGAGAGAGCAGCACACACAGGTCCGCTCCCTACGCCGCCATCTTGGTTCCGAGGCTGTCTCTAAATCCTTATACACCTTTCCCTTATCTTCCTTCACTATCCAATTTTTTTTTCTCTTCTTCTTCTTCTTTTCTCTCTCTATTGTGTTATTGTTGTTTGCTTGATTGACGAATATATTGGGTTTTTTTTTTTTTGAATTGTTTGTGAGGTTAGACTGCTTATTCTTTTTATTTTCCTGCCCCTCCCTCTCCCCCCCCCTCCCCTGGTTATTTCTGTGTTTCTGTTTCCCCTTGCGTCGCTTGATATTATTGGTTGTTTGTAGTTTGTATTCATCTCCAGGAATCTGTTGCTGTAATTTGTTGGTATTAGTGGCGGACCTATAGGAGTTTTCTCCTCATATAAATAGTCTCTTCCCCTTTTATACTTCATTCTCTTTTCTCTCTTACTTTTTTTTTTTCCTCCTCTTGTTCCCCTCCCTTTTCCCAATTTCATTTTTGCACTCCTTTTTTTCTTTCTTTCTTTTTTCTCTTCTACCTTTTTCTCTTCTTTCCCCCTTATCTCTCAACTCTCTTAGCTCGGGAGGCCACCTTTATTTGGGATTAGTAATATCGTAAATACAATAGTGTTTAGTGCCTGGTACGTTGTGCCTTGTTGTGTTGTATTTTGTGCCTTTAAATCAACGCAGCAGATTCAAGCAACAGCGGCCTCCTGATCACCATACC